TGTTTTCTTCGTTCGGTTTGTTTATAAGACCCCCATCATGAGCGGAACTCGTCCCAGCTGTTGCAAAAGACGTTCGACACTTACATGATGACTCGTGCAATGGAGGTGGCCGCGCTTCGGGTGAGGAATTGCCGAAGGGGCTGCGGTTGAATGTAACTTCAGGTTCATTGGATGATGTCTAAAGCTTTTGGTACCATTTCCATTGTAGGAGAAGAAGATGGCCGAGTTGACGAACCATTACATGTTGAAGATTCAGTCAAAGGACAAGGAGCTCCGCGACAAAGACACGATCGTCGCAGATCTGACGGCAAAATTGGAGGCAATCAAGACTGCTGGGACAAATCCTCAGGTGCGCAATGTGATTGCACAAGCAAACAAGGGTCCAGCACGTTTCTTAAGCGTTAGCCTTTAGGAGCAGCTTCAGGCCGATCTTCAAAAGGTCAAAGACGAAAAGGAAGCTCTGCGAAAAGACTACGAGAGGCAAATTCAACAGCTGAACGTCAAAAGCAAGGCGCAGAAGGCGGAGGTATAGTACTTCCTCAGGAGACGGAGCGGGGCATTATGAACTGATATACTTTTCCCCTTTGATAACAGAAATCCAAGCTCGAGGCGGCTGAACGCGAACACCTCCTGCACATCAAACAGCTCACCGCGGACAACAGCAAATTTGAATCGTTGATCAATGAGAGGGACGCAAGTATCGCAGACTTGAAGGATGCGAGCAAGGACTTGCTTGTGCTGCAAATGGAGCTGGCTACGGTGAAGGAGAAGCATGCGCAACAGCTTTCTGACTTGGAGGCATGTCATCCGTCTTGCATTTAGTGTGAACTTTCGTTTCGACGCTGACAGATTGTCATCAGACTCAGAAACAGCAAGCGATCGATGAACGGGATCGCGCACAAGCCCCACCGTGCTCCACTTCCGAGTTGGACAAGATGACGAGCGACCTCGCCGCCAAAACCCTCGAACTGGAACAATTGTTCAAGAAGAACAATGAACTCAGCGAGCTGAACAACAGGCGCCTGCGCGAGATCCAGGACTTGAACGCGAAGCATCAGCACGAGATGCAGAATCTCAAGATTCAGCACCAAAAGGCCAGCGCGGACACCGGCGAACTCCAGCGGGAGAAGGACCGCATCGCGGCCGAGAGCAAGGCGCATCAAGGGACGGTCTCCCGGCTCAAGGGTGATATCAAGCAGCGCGAGTCGGAGATGCGCGAAATGAACAAGGAGAACACTCGTCAGAAGAAGATTGTCGAAAACCAGGAGGAGGACCTGAAGCAGGCGCACATCAAATACGAACAGCTGCGGGCCGAGAACGTCGCCCTGATGGCTGATAAGGATCGGTTGAATGAGGCCAGCGAGACGACGCAGGAGATCGTTGTGGCGCTTCAGGCAGCGAATGACGAGAAGGATCGGCAAATTAAGGAGTTGAAGGGTATGGTTGAGGAGGGGACGGGAGATGTTGAGAGGGTGAAGGCGGAGCTGAAGGGAGCGAAGGAGAGGGAGGAGGAGCGGGAGAAGGCGGATGCTGATGAGATCCGTTTGTTGAGGGCGGAGGTTGACGAGAAGGTTGCGGAGATCAAAGGGTTGAAGGGGGAGGCGGCCATGGTGGAACGGATGGAGCAGGAGCTTGAGGGTGCTGTGATGTCAATGAAGGAGGCGGAGAGCGCCTTGAAGGAGGCCATTGCGGAGCGCGATGATTTGAGCGGGGATCTTGCGGGTGCGCAGGAGAGGATTAGGGAGTTGGAAGGGGTTGTTGCGGAGATGGAGAAGAAGATGGTGGCGTTGACGGAGAAGTATAAGAAGGAGAATGGGGAGTTGAGGGCGGATGTGGAGAGGGTTGAGAGGGAGAGGGAAGCGATGAGGGTCCGGGGTGAGGAGAGGGAGCGTCGTTCGCGTGCGGATGTGTTGGAGGAAATGGTTGGGGAGTTTGAGAAGGCGGTTGGGTGGTGTTTTGGTGAGGAGTGTGGGGAGGAGGAGGTGGGGAGGGTTGTTGGGGAAGTTTTTGAGTGTAGGAAGGTTGTGGAGAAGTGGGTTGGGGGTGGTGCTGGGGCGCCGTTGGTGTTGGTTTGTTAGGTTGGGAAAGGGTGGGTGGCGGAGGTTTTGGGAGGTATGTAGATGGAGATAGTCGTGCTTTGCGTCTTTTGCATAGGGAGGCGTATATAGCTGCGTCGCGCTTTTGCATAGCGGAGATAGGGTAGTGCAATAATATTTGCAAATTTGCTGTTCAAATTATACCTGTAGTGTGTTGGGTGGACTTGGAATGGACGACGGGATGTTGAGTCGATGAACGCGAGGGTCCATGAACGGAGGCAGGCGTGGGACAAAGGTCCACCTCCGAGACATGTTACACAAGTGTACAACAGGCTTTCTGAGTTGTCACAGCCTCCGTGCCGCTGGGTTTGCTTCAAGATCCCATCTTTTCTCAAGATTCCCAATCCACTTCATCTTCCCTTTCAGACCTGTCCATACCCTGAACATACCAAACCATGTCCAAAGTATCTCCAGCCGCAGCAGCAGCGCTCAACCCCCCTCCTACCAACCCACAGGAAGGGGCATCCCTATTGAAAGACGTCGAAATGGGCAAGACGGAGAAGCTCATGCAGGTGGCGGATGACTTGAATCTTAGTCAGTTTATTCCGGCGCAGGAGGTGGGGTTTTCGCGTTTTTTAATGATTTGGGAGGTTAGGCGTGGAGTTTTGAATGGATATGATGTAGGCCAACGCGTATAGTTCTATCAAGTCTGCTACGAATGGTGTTGTCAGGTAGGTATGGTGGGAGGGGGAAGTTTTGTTTACTACTAGCACGCGTCGACGCGTTCTGGTGCTATTTTTACTAACGCATTTGATCTGTACATCCTCTCCAACAAATTACCAGCTTCTCGTAAGTCACTCCTACCAACGCTCCACCCAAATCGCCCCCCGTCCTCGAACTAACCCCACCCCACCCACAGCAACCTCTCCCTCTACATCGGCCTCCTCATCGCAGCATTCAGCCCCGGCGGTCGTCAAGATCCCATCATCATCACGCTCTCCATCGCAGCCTTCATCACCTCGTCTCTTGCTATTATTCTCTCGTGTTACTTATTTTCCTTGTCTCCTAAGGCCGGGGATAAGTCTACACCTGGGGGTTTCTCGTTGAAGGCACGAAGGATCAACAATACGATTGCGATATTGAGTCCGGTTAGTTTGATTCTGAATATGGCGATTAGTAGTTTGATTGGGAAGGGGGATATTAGGGTTGCAGGGATGTGATTTCAAGCAATGATGGGCGGTGGTGGTAGAGGCTGTCTGATGGGATGTCGGAGAAGTTTCAACTGTTAAACGATGTTGTATATTTCTGTAAATCGCCTGTGACTATATAGGAGTCTGCTTTTTGAAAAGCCCGGTATGTAATACATTATCATATATCACCGAGCCGGGCGATAAAAAGGACGTGCACTTCATTGTTCAACCTGAAATGGGGGGTCTCATCAATCTTGAGCTTCCACCGCCATCTATTATGCGCACCCAAAAACCCAACCACCCTCCTCCCACAATTCCTCCTCCGTCCCCACATCATAACAGGTTGCCACTGATAATCCGCATCAGTCCACCTGCCATCCCACCTAACCAACGACTCCCTCTCCATCCCAGCATCCACCACTAAACTCATCGCAATGCTTCTATGCTTCGATAGAAAACACGTTTCATCTTCTTCGTCCATTTCCTCATGGTCTTCTGGATCGCAGTAGGTAAAGGGCTCGCTCCAGTTATGGGCGGATGGTGGGAGGTTTTTGTGCAGGGCGAAGATGGTGGGAAGAGGTGTCTTGATGGTTGGGAAGAAAAGTGTGGTGGTGAGGGCTGCAATAGATTGGGAGGATTCGTTGCCTTCGTTGCGGGTTCTCGCGTCACGGACGGCCAAGGAGAGGTTATTGGGACCGTCATTGTCTATCCAGGTTTGATCTCCTTGTCGATGAAAACCCGCTTTGAATCTGTCGTTTTCATAGCTCAGCACATCGGCGTGGAACTTAAATGCCTGAGGAACTGATGTGTCCAATCCTATCCTGTTGGTGGGTCCCGTTTCATTGCATCGGAGGATGAAGCAGTGATCATATATGTCGTGATCATCGTCTCGTTCAAATAGGTCGGGCACTTGTTGGAGGAGGAGGATGTATGATAAGTCCCAGTAGAGGGTGTACGCTTCCTTTGTGAATCGTGCGGCTGGCCAGTCTGACGGTGGAGAGGACAAGTAACCATATTGAGAAGGAAGGAAATGAATGGGACTATGACTGCAGCGGGAGTTTGATGTTATGAAGCTTTATCAATACTTCCGTGACGATGACGTGGGTATCAAATGATGGTTCAACTCACCCTTGAACCAATGTCCAGCTTGTAAAGTCTTCCTCAAAAAAGCCTCCGAGAGGTTTGATGGAGCCAGTTGGTCCATACAGGTTATCCTCCACCCTCGCCTCCCATGCGTCGACGAGCATACTGACGTTTCCATGAGGAGTAAAGTCGAAATGGGCTTTTAACAACTGGCGCCATATTCCCTACCGAGTGAGCAGAAAACAGAGAGAAAGTAAGGCTAAGGAATTATCAAAAGTTTGTGGCACAAATAACGCTAGCACAAGTTGGGTATGCTGAATATGGCGCTTGTGCAGCGTTGAGTGGTCAGCGCCACAAGTAGCTGGGGTTACAGCTGACATTGTCCAACACCATCTGAGCTGGTGTGCTTGCGGCAAGTTAAGTCAACGAACCTCCTTGTCGGGGTCCAGAAGCGTTCTCCATAACTTGCATGTCGCCCTACATGCTCTTAGGGAGACCCACGCTGGAGAGGAGATGTTTAGGAATATGTTGAGGGAAATGTCTTCGTTCAAGACAACCATCTTCGGTGTTTGGAACTGGAAGACTGCGCCAAAATGTTCATTTGGAAAGTTCCTTCACATTGATTCCTAACCCCTCCCCAATGGTGGAGATCAAAGATATATGCAATATTTCAACGACATCAACAACAAGCGGCCTAATGGTCTAGTCGTATGATTCTCGCTTCGGGTAAGAATTACGTGACCACGTGATTCCGGACATGCGAGAGGTCCCGGGTTCAATTCCCGGTTGGGCCCTTTTGTTTCTTCCATCTCCCCTTTTTTTTCACAAAGGTTGTTTAAAAGGACCCTTTTCCATCCATTGCCCTTTTTTCGGGGCTCCATTTCGTCCAATTTTCACGGAAATGTCAATCAAACATAGCTATCGCGTAAGATACGAAGCCCGAAGCTTGGGGATTTGGGAATGGGCCTAACCGGGAAGTGAACCCGGGACCCCTTGTTGCGGTCCCGGGTCCGAATCCCAGTTGGGCCCTTCTCATCCGGTATGTTGTGCACGGAGTTCGTAGAATGCAAACATGCAAACGTTGCGAATGTGAACTCATCGGGATATGTATCACAAAGAAACTATAGTTATCGTATTGATACAAACTGTCTCTTTTATGAGACTTCCACAATCCCCCTCTCCTGCATGTAGCTTCTAACCACCTCCAAAACCTCCGCCCTTCCCAACCCCTCTGCAGTCTTGCACGCTTGGGACAGCCACTTTGGATCCCAACCATCGCCCGCCTCCAACACCATTCTGACCATCTCTCCCACGTTATGCATTACGCACTCATCCAACAGCCACTGATTCACTCGGGCCCCGTTTGCCAGGAGGAGACCTAATGCTACTGGGTTGCGATTCCGTACGGCATGATGGGCGAACTGGTATATGGAGTTCATGTCAAGCACACCTATATTGATCAGCTCCTCCATGATGCGATTATGACCGCCTTCAATGGCTCCCTTCATTCCCGCCCCTGCTACTCTCGTCAAAGTGGCTTGATCTGACTGGTTTGCAGACAGGAAGCATTGGACGGCTTCGAGGTGCCCGTTTTCGGCTGCGAGGGATATAGGATATAACCAATGACGCCGGTCTACGGGACATGTTCCGCGGTCTAGGAGAAGGTGTATGAGTTCGGTGTGTCCGTATTTGGAGGCGACGTAGAGGGGGTTGAAGGTTGCATAGACGAATTCGGGGGTATCGGGCATCACAGGAGGTGTGGCATTGTCCAAGAGGAAAGTTACGGCTTGAATATGGTTATGCTGTGTTGCTTCCATTAGGGCCATGTGCTTTCGGCCGGGGTTGTCTTGGAGGTAGGTGGGATGAATGGATAGGAGGCGGCGAAGATCTCTGACGTTGCCTTGGCGGGCAGCCCAGAGCCAACAGTCAAGAGCGGAGTCTTCGAAGTAATGGTGGGCAAATAGGGCGTCGTGGGTATCAAGAGCGGAAATAGCACGGTGGTGGTGCTTGCATGCGGAGCGGAAATAGTGGGCTGTAAGAGGGTGGCAGAACAGGGTTATTACCCTCAGTACAGGGTCAGGGAGGTAATGGTGGGTCATGGTGGAGTGGTTTTATTCTGGTAACTGGAGGGGTGAATGTACGGCGGCTGGGATATAGAGCAACAAAATGGAGCAGGACTCAATGAGTACGTGGCACTAATGTCGCAGACTTCTGGGATTGTCGTGAGAACTGGCGAGCAGCAAGGAATATTATCGTGCGGGGAGCAAAAGTGAGGTGAAAATGGTCCAGGCAGAAGCAAGCTGGGCTCGTGGGACTCGGTGGGAGTGAGTGGAAGCTTCATCTTTGTGTAACGACAAGATGGTGATTTTGTGGTCAACCTGCAAGGACCCTGACGGCGCGACACTGTTCTCCTTAACTTCCTCACTCTCCTGCCAACAATAACATATCCATTCTTCATGCATGCAACAGTGTAAGAGTTATTACCAGTATCATGTCGCAAAAATACAAAAGGAGAAGGCCAGACCCGATTATCACTGAGGGCCGCTAAGGTCTTGCTGATAGGCCCACACCTCCGCCCCATCATCATACCAGCTCTGAACACTTGCCCTAGAGGTCATTGCTAGCATCATTTGACGGGACTCGGCATCCCTTGGAATGCCTTGGTGATGAGTTGGATGTGCACTGGCACTATTTATACCCTGCACTGGGGGGCTTGGGAGTGATCTGATTGGTCGAGTGAGGGATTTACATATGACGTGGTCTGACTAGGACGCTCGCGTGCGCAACAGGAATAGTCTTATGGAGACCAGCCATGAGTGTAAAACTGAAGCCGTTTGCCTCGGTCCTTCACAAAGCGGAGGTCCATGTTTCATATATGACAACTTGGCGGACGCCTGGGATACAGTGATTCTCATGCCATGTCAGTGAATTTATCAGGGAGCGGTGTGTGTATCAGAAATCCAACCGATCTTTATGACGAGCACTTGCTGCAGATTTATCGACGTACACCAAGCGCTGGAGTCTTGATGTGGTTGTGTTTGCTTGAAGTGCTAGAGGTAGTCAGTTTTGATGAGGTGGAGTGACTTTTTTGGCACGGCCAGGCTTCCGGACATTGACAAGTTATGATCGGACCGTCAATCACGGCCGCCGGAGCCCTCAAATTCAGATCGAGGGTAGCCATGCATCCTGCAGTAGCCTATTGCGCCATATACTGGTCCATTGTATTGGATACTCTGCAACACCATCTATTTTTCAACTTTTGCGTCAAAGAGTTCCCATTGAGTTTTGCCTGGTTGGGAGTAGAGAGTAGGACTTAGATTGGCAGGCACAAACTGCAGTTGCTGCTGGCAGTGTCCGCAACAACTGTAATTCCGCATACATCATACTGGGCGCTCCGCCCTTGGTCTCGCCCAATATGTTGAACCTTATGGGAGCAATGGCGAAGAAGCCGCAGTCTGCCCATTCAGATGAAGGGGTTGCAATCGATGCCGATAGCCCCTTGGGAGAGAGGGTAAGATGACGTCTGCTTATGTACCCATTCTGGAATGACTGCGACTGATGTCTTACCCGCTCAAAAAATTATCCCATGCTGCACCTAAACGTCACCTCTTATTGTCTGCGCATCGACGGGAGAACAGACCAAATCCGCCGCCGCAGGAATGAAAATGACAGATTTGATCGGGATTTTAGTCGCTGCAAACAAACCAGCCACTGCTGCTCCTGCAAAGAAGCCAGCACCATCTGCAGCTCCTCCCGAAGTCAAGAAAGAGGAACTGACGGAGGAGGTAAGATCTTATTCTGGCAGATAGAAATCAGTCGTTTGGCTCTAGTAAAAGCTCAACGCACTTGCCTCCCACAATCAGGTGTTCCTCCCCGAGCTATCTCCACAGGATGTTCCACCTCTACTGAAACACTTTTCGTGGACCCGTGCGGCCCCTTTTAAAGAAGAAAGACATCATCGGGCGGTATCGGATACCATCGGTAACAACTATAGTCCTTGGGCAGCGGATCTGAGCGTGAAAGTGTTGGGGAAAAGGCCCGGTGGCGGTGGAGAGAAGCCTGCTGGTATGGTCACATTCGCTATTAGCAAGGACTCCGATCGTCAAGGCGAATGAATCCATGTGCTCATGAGTTTCTATCGTTTAACAGGGCTAGACGCGGGTAACAAGAGACCGAAGAGTGGGAGCTCCAGACGGTAAAGTGTTTCAAACCATAAGGCGAACATGGCACATGCACTAAATTCAATACTACGATCAGATCGCCCCTTCCTCCACCCCTTCCCTCCACATCTCCCCTCCCCGAATCCCGCCCCATCTCCCCCGAATCCCGCATAACACTCCTCTACGGCTCCTCCCTAACCGAAACGCCACCGCCCCAACCCTTCTCCCCACCCATCCTCGACCCCTACGACCTCGCCTCCGAAAACTTTGCCAAACAACTCTCCCCCGACCACCGCTATCACTTCTACGTCACCCGCGGTATCCCCGACGACGCCGTCGCCCCCATGGAATCCCACCTCCTCACCGGCTTCCACGCCCGCATTCCGCAAAAATACCTCTCCTCGGACCCCCTAACACCAACACGCACATCCATCCTCCGCGAAGTCCAATCAGACTACACAACCGCGCTCCGAAAATCTATCGTTGATTACATCTTGCTGGATCCACACGAACAGCATCGTCTCTCGATACCACCACCCATACCGCCTTATCAACCGCGCATTGCGCGCGCGCCCGTGCCGTGGCATGAGACGGTGCGGGAAACGAAGGCTTATATGGAGGAGAATTTGTTTATAACGAATCCGGTTATGTTGGATGTGTTGGGGATTTATGTTGACAGGTTTGAGAAGAGTCGGATTGTTGATGTGGGAGTCTTTTCGGAGGGGGTTTTGCCGATGAGTGTGGAGGAGTTTCAGGGGATTTTGAAGAATCAGTGTTTGGCTTTTAAGAGTAAATTGTTGAATGAGTGAGTATTGATTTTCGGGTGGAAGGAGGAAAAGGGTTTGCGTTCGATGCATTTCAACTATCATTTACAATTTCTAACTAAACCATACCACACCCACAGATGGATCCCAACGGTCTCCACCCAATTCTTCACCACAAAAGACACCTGGTACTCCATCGCAACCTCCTGCCTAGACCCAGACACCGGTTTTCGCCGCTTAGACTCCTTCTTCAAATCCGTCTCCGCCCTCATGTCAAACCACCTCTACCACCTCACCGCCTCCTCCCTCACAGATTTCGAATCCTTCTTCTCCCGCTTCGCATCCGCAACGTCCGAAACATCCCTCTTCTTAGTTAAACTCGTCATATCCGGCGCACAGATCCGATTCGACCCCCCTCTTCAGGACTTGGAAACCGTTATTATGTCTGTGCTAGAAGAAATGGTCCATGCGGTTCATGATATTCCCCGCGTGGAAACAAAACTCTTCACCTCTCTCAGTGGAGAGGGACTTTACCTGAATGCGATGGGGTTGGATGATGATAGGATTGGGGAGGGGAGGTATGTTAGGGGGATAGTGGCGAAGAATACGGTGGCGCCGCAGAAGCATTTGATGAGTTATGATAAGTATAAGAGTCTTTTGACGCATAAGGCTGAGAAGAGGATTGAGGATTTTTTGAGGGAGAAGCATGATTTGGAGGATTATGAGGCGGTGAGTTTCTGTCTGTTGAGGTTGGGAGGTGGGGTTGGGAGATAGGGTTGCTGTCTTCGCGGTTCGCCGGAGATTCGACTGGGCGTTTCGTGTTCTGACATGATAAATTCTTTCAACCGTGTTTGTAGGAGATAAAAAAAC